CCCGGTTTCTGTTTGGAAGCAAAGTGAAACCTCACCCTGCACTCGTACCAGTCAGCACCTTCTTTCCCACAGTCCGCCCTGAACCTGTCCATCGTCAGTGCCTGTTCCTTTTACACCTTTAGCACTATAATTTTCTAGCGTGACAATGGTCACAGCTCTAGCCTAGCTTTTATTATTATCTCTTGTTACTTTGATAACTGCTTCCAAACCATTCCCTCCCCAGACTCTGTACCTGAACCTGTTGCAGAGATTCTTTGCCTCTTTCAAACCCATGTGCCTTCTTTCCCAGGAGCAGAGCCCTCATTGTGTGCAATATGACAATGCTCTCTGTGAAGGAACCCTACCTCCCCAGTGCCCCTGCAGCCTAGGGGCAGCTGTGACTCAGTTCTGGCTCAGGAGATACAAGGAATCTGTTGGGTGAGGTTTCTGGAGATCCTCTTACAAAGAAGGGTGGAGATCTAGGACCAGGCCACTTCTCACACTTCCACCAATCCTTTTTTCTATGAGCTAGCAACCACATTGGAATATGGACAATTGAGAAGTAGATAAAGAAACTGTCCCTGATGATTTTGTGGAGCTGCCCACCAGCCCCAGTCACCTCCCGCCAGGGTTGTTTTATGGAACAGTGAAATATGCTTTTTCATGTGCGAGCTGTTGCAGTCAGGGCTCTGTGATTAGCAGCTGAACACAGTTCCTGACTGACACAGAACCCACACCCTCACTGCTGTCAGCCGAAACTTGCAAATAATGCACATTTTGAGGAGTTTTCTTTTGCCACCACTGAAGCAGGGTTCCAAGGGTCTTCAGAAAATGCCTAATCCTGCAGGGTAGGTGGGAGGACTATTGATAGCCTCATTTTACATGAAGAAGCCAAGGCTTAGGATCACTCAGTTAGCAGGTGTCAGAGAAAGGACGAGACAAGGTTCAGATGGTTTGGAGGAATGACAAGGGATGGGACTGGTGCTGTGGTGTGAGCTATGAGTGTACATACAAACGCTGACACACATGCATGTATGTGCATGCATACAAACACACACACACAATTGGAATCTCAAGTGGATACCTGCTGCTTTTGCCTGTGTTCATACCACCCGGCCTTTTCAGATAACAAAACCCTTGTGTTCGGGGACCTGCCCCTGTTCCAACTGAGGCTGTCAATCACTGGACACATGACCCCAATGGGCACTTGATCCCAAACCCCCTTCGGACAATGTGAGGGTCCCAAAGTGGCCTTGTAACTCATTCATTCAGAGTTCTTAGGGGACTGCCACTTCTTCACTGTATGCGAACGTGGGCCTATTTGCATCTCGAGGCTCTGTCCCCTTATCCATAGAATGACGTCAACTTATCACCTGCTCTCCTTGGCAGCTGAGAGAATAAGCTAAGACAATTCAGGAAACAGCCTGGCATGTGGTGAATGTCCACTTACGATCAGGCTTTTTTGGGAAGCTCTCATTTCTCTGGACACCATCAGTCTGTAGAAACTACTGTTACAAAAGACTGACAATTAAGCTCCCAAATCCCACTTCAATCTGGTTCTTTAGCTCATTTGTTCCCCATCACACAGACAAGAGGCTTAGGTCTCCGAGTTTTGGAGACCACTTCAACTGCTTTGAGAGATAAAAAAACAGGCTTGGGGGACAGTCTCCATCTCTTATCTGTCTCTAAAATAGCAACTGTAATTGATGAGATTAAGCAAATCTGCATTTCTTCTCGATCTGGCAATCTTAAAAACTAGAAACATTTCATTCCCCCTTGAATGGAGAGTCCAGAAACCACATGAAACACAGCTGTTTGGGTGTGGTCATGGTATTTATTCATAGGATATTTTCACAATGTGTTAACAATGGAGAACAGCATGTAACCATACACTGAGTATAACTTTCCTGGCACACTCTGGGGTTCAGGGGGGTGGAGAGCACTGCCAGGTTTTTCCTAATCTCTTTGGTTTGTGGAAGTGAGTAGGGCCTGCCAGGGGGTATTGGCAATGACTTCCCTTCGATAGGGTTGGAAGGGCAGAAAGACCATGGCTTTGGCACTTCCATTTGGGAAAGAAGTAACAGAGGGATTAATGGGTGATCAGAGAGACGCAGGAATCTTGGACTCCGCAGTTCCTTTCTCGTCACAGATGCCAACTGCTACAGCAGCCATGAGCACCGGCAGGGTCTTAGGCTCACGGCCTGATGAGAAGGCAGGTCACCAACCAATGTTTTCATGCAAAAGGCCACGACTAAGACCCTGGTTCTGAACTCCAGGTATTCTGGGGGTGCTGAAGGTCACCCCGTTCTATGTGTCCTCTGTCTTGCAACTGGTAAACTTGGATATCATTTCAGAATATCTTGCAAAATGCTGAGGACCTCACTTTCTCAAGGTCACTCTGTGATGAAGTTGCTTGTGGGACCCTCTGTTTAACTGCAGAGGGTCTGCGGCACCATGAACGGAAGCAAAGCATATTAATAACAGTAACAATAATAGGAACAGAGTACAACTCCCTTCCAAAAATGGCATGTCCAAAAATAAGGGTAAACAGCTGCTCTCATTCTATCCAAGTGATTCTGTCCATTGGAAAATGTCCTTCGGCTCCTCCCTTATTTAATGTGTTTACATTTCTTAGTCTGAAGATCATTTAAATAATACAATATTAGCACCAAGGCAGCAATTTTGTTCCCAGAGATCACATGACACTGAATAGATACTTAGCGTAATTAATAGCTGGTACAATCTGTGACATCACTAAATTCCTTACTGGCTAACGATGCTTTCATAGAAATGCCAAAAATACCCCTGTAGCACCTTGAAGATTGTTTTAAAAAAAATTACAATTTAAAAAAATTAACAATAAAACATTTACATATAGAAAGTAAACAATAGTGTACCGTGATAATGAAGGATCACTTTTGTCATAATACTACATATAATGTAGAGTACGTAAAATGCAGTGGTCTGACTGCAGAAAACAAAATAATGCAAAAGGCAGTCATAATAGAATCATTTTACGTACAAAAATATTACATCACAATAAATAATTTCAAACATAAATATTAAACTTTACATCATTAGGATATTCCACAAATATACACACACATATCTGTATGCACAGATATGTGTGTGTATATATGTATATATATGCATATGTATATGTACAGGCACCCACAAGCACACAAAGTCCACACACGCGCACACATGCACACACGCGCGCACACACGCCCAGATTTAAGGTGGAGGTATTGCATTACTATCCTTCATCCATCCCATCGTGGCTTCCTCTTCGGAGCACCTGAAACAAATGAGCCAACCAAGAAAGGTAAATCTTCTGTCTCAAATACCGTTAAGTCAAGAGTAGGCAATCCATACATTTTACATTTAGAATTTAAAATATCACACATTATTCTCCTTAGATTTTAAAAGTAATGCATACTTGCTATAAGAAACCTGTGCATCTCAGGAGAGCATAAAGAATAAAAAAATAGCTAGCCTGAAATTCCATCTGAAATAACACTCCTCAAATATTTCTATATTTCCCTCTAGTCTTTTTTTCTATATATACGTATTATGTAAAACACATACGAACATTTATTTGGTAGATATAAAATGTATAAGTACACATATAATGGGATCTTTAGTGGGTACTTGCTGACTTTTCCTGCCTTCATCCCATCTCCCCATTCCCGATAACCCCTTTAGGTGGCTACATGATCTCCATTTCCTGGACATTGTGATTGGTTCCGAAGTGGCCACGTGACCCAATCAGACCAGAGTCCCTGTGCAGAATGGATGCTGAAGGTGAGCATTTACTTGGGACCAAGAGCTGTAAGGGTGATGTAAGCCTAGAGCTGCCAGGGGCCATGGTGTGGGGGAGATGATCTGCCTGAGAAGGAAGCCATTTAAGAGACAAGCACTGCTGACTGTTGGAGAAAGAAAGAGTCCGGATGACTCTGTTGGAGCCTCTGGATCCAGCCTTGCCTGAAGCTAGCACACTGCTTGGAGGGCTCAGCTATTTTAGACGTTTCCTTTAGTTAGTTCTTTTGCCTCTTGCAATGGAAGTCATCCTAACTTAAGATCATAATTTTGAATATAGATGTTTAGTTAAACATTGAAATAATGCTTTATAAATGTCAACTAGGTTCTTCTATGTCAGGATCTTGAAGAGCTTTAGCAGGTAATGGGCTGCTGAAAACTTGAGGACAGTTAGTGGGTGATCACACGAGTAGGCTGAATTCATCCCTATAGCTGAAGGCACTGGGGCGAGAAAAAGTGACCGATTCTGTCCTCTGCTCAGCAGAGGAAGCACTTGCTAGCATCATGTAGTTAGACCAGGGACTGCCAAGCTTCAACATGCACGCCTCTCCTGGGGATTGGTTAAAATGCAGATTCTGGTGTCACAGGTCTAGGCTGAGGCCTGAGATCCTACATTTTTAACAAGTTCCCAATGTGCACTGAAAGTGTGTGCAACAGTGCAGCAACTGAAAGCAGTGGCTCTGATGTAGGGCATGCCTGGGTTCTGCCAAGGGGACTGGTGCCCACAGGCCAACTATGTAACTGTTGTGGGCCTCAGCTCCCATCTGTACGTGAGGATCCCAGCCCCATCTGTGGCTTTCTTATGAGGATTCCATGAAATGATGCCTGCAAAGTGCTTAGCATGGTGCCTGACACACAGTCAGGGCGCAGTGAACACCCTTCATGTTGTTATTACAATACTCCAGGCAGTATTTCGCAAAGGTTGCTCAGAGTTACCTGCGTCGGAATTCTTTGTACTAAAAATACAGATTCCTGGATCTACCAGAGACCTAAGGAAGCAGGACCTCTAGGGATGGAGCCCTGGAGCAGCATTTTGAACAAGCACTGCAGAGAAGCCTGATGCAGGACGCCTAGGGACCCGGGTGGAGAACAGACGAGCAGGAGAGAGAGGCACAACAGTCACCTGCCTGGGGGCAACGGGCCTGGCCACATTTGTTAATCATCAGCCTACAGAAAGAATGAGATAGAAAGATGGAAAGGTAGATAGACAGACAGATAGACACAACATACTTACCTTAACTATAAAACTCGAACCTCCAGGCCAGTGCCCGAGGACGGAGTACATTTTCCACAGTAACCACCGCACGTCCCTACGACTCGGGTTCCATCCTGCAAGGAGATGCGTGACCTCAGACTACCTGCGTGGCTGCGTTTCCAGGTCCCGCGCTGGCTCCTCGGCCGTTATTCTTGCCCGCAGTCGAGGCAGGCCTTCTGCACGACAGCGAAGCCCAGCACCTCGCCGGGGCGTGAAGCAGGGTGCACAGCGCGGCCTCGATGCAGCCTGCCACCCATTTTCGTATGGCCCACATGTCAAGAACGGTGTTTACATTTTTATTTTATTTTTTTGATTGATTGATTTTTAGAGAGAGAGAGAGAGGAGGAGGAGAGAGAGAAACATCGACTTGTTGTTCCATTTATTCATGCATTCATTGGTTGTGCCCTAACCAGGGATCGAACCCACAGCCTGGGGGTATTGGGACGATGCTCTGACCAACTGAGCTCCCTGGCTAGGGAGTGTGTATGTTTTCAAATGGTTAAGAAGCAGCAAACCAAAAATAATCCCTCTTGACATGTGAAAATTTTATGAAATTCAAGTTTCGCTGTCCATAAAGTTTTATTGAAACACAGCCGTGCCACGATACCAGGGCTGAGGAGCTGGGGCAGCTCTCATTGCTCCACACGGCTCCTCGGCGCCCTGCTCATCAGTGACACCGTCTTCGTCACAGTGCTTTGAGTGCCATGCATGTTGCTACGTCATAACATTCTGCTTTATTTTTTATTACCAGTGTACACATCATGGCAAAACAAGAGGAGAAACGTGGGCTCTTGATGCTACACTTCTAAGGGACAGTGATGTGTGGGTTATTCTGTTATCAAACTGAGAGGGCAAAGCACGGTGTTTATCAAGCAGGGACATCACAGCTGTGCTAGAAGCAAACACTACACCACTCAGCCTTCGTCACAATATTCCCAACTCACGGGAAAGCAATGGCCAGAAGTTCAGAAAGTTTAAAACGGAATATCTCACCATAGCATCATTTCTTCATAAAAATAAAAAATGCAATGAGTACGTAAGTTTCCAAGTGGCTCATTTGTTAGCCAAGCAATGGAAACAGTTTACCCACGAAATCTTGTTTTATTGCGACAGCCAAAGAAATGTGTCCAGAGAAAATAAACCTAAGACTATTGTTCTTTTGCCAAGAACGGTTACTCGAAAAGTTACTGACGTTGGCAGCAACATCAATTATTCAATTTAAAAAGGAGGCAAATAATTTTGAGTGACTTTCTTTTGGTCTCTTTGTGAACTGACAGGTATGACTGATACTGTTCAGTGGTTGTTGACTGGGGCCGAGTAAGATGTGACTAAAGGACTCACCTCTGTGAAGAGTCCTCGTGGAACAAATTCAGGCAAGAGAATTTCAAAGAGGTTGAGAAGCACAGTGCACACCTGAGTGGAATCTGTGAGATGGGCCAACAGACAGTGGACAAAATCTCTGCGAGCAGGAAGAGCTTCAGTTGGTCAAATTTACAAAGCTTGTCAACGGTCAGGTGGTCACAGCTCATTCACCGTATTACCCATCAGCTGGAGCTTTGTGGAAAATACTCAGGTCTTGGGAGCACAGAACCAGCAGTGTCCACGATGAACGCCTTGCTTTCATGAACTTAATGAATCATCATCGGGTTTGTAAGTTTTTCATCAGATCTAGAAGCTGAACACCCTGACTTGTCCTACTTTTGATGACTTAGCAGTGACGAAGTTTTATTGTGACCTTTTGAGCTCAGGGCTGGGATTAAAATTTTCCTGAACAAGAACTGCTCTCAATCACTAACCGAACAGTCGATGGCTCTGGACATTAACTTTCTACGGACTTGAGAGTATTTCTTAACGATTGGACCCTAAAATTACGAGACAAAACTGCCACTTAAAGCCACACTCATACTGTGGTAAAGTCATTTCAGTAACAACTATCATTTTCTGAACCATCAGCAATAGCAAGCCGTTTGAACTGTCCATTCTGTTAAAAGATAAAATGAGAAGCTACATCTCCACCCCACACATTTACAGGAGATATTTTCCGAGCCTGAACTGCAGTTCCAGCAATACTTTTTTGTACTTTGATGTAAGTGCAAAGAAAATTTTCAAACTTCAAAATCCATTTAATGAGGCAATTGAGGAACTTCATCTCGCCCGCAATTGCGAGGGACTAATCCATGATGTAAAGACGCTAACAGACAAGCGTCGAGGGAGAAATCTGACAGACTTCTGTGCTTGCCGAGAATTTACAAATATGCCCAATTACAATCATATAACTGTGGACTATATCAGTGCTGGCAATGCCTATTTATGTAAAGAAATTTATATATAGATAAAAAAAAACCTCACTTCCAATCAGCATTTACAGGTAAACATTTATGATCAATTTTGATAATACAGAACACTAAACAAAATGTCATCCTCTCAATATTCCATTCTTTTCACTGGTAGATCTATATTAAAAATATACTCAATTACTATTGTTTTAAATTTAATCAATAGAAATTTTGTGCAAATTTGTTATATAAATACAAATATAATATCATTGATTTTTGCCTGCTGGCCAGCAAAGTCTAAAATATTTACTATCTGGTCCTTCACAGAAAGTCTTTCAACCCTTGGTCTCAAGTCTTGCGTGTTCCCTCCCGATACCATCTTTTCCCCGACCCTGCCCCCCATCTCTGAATTTCTTCGGGTTGCTTTTCTGGAGTGCTCCTTACGCTGGGCCCCTGCACATGTCCTTCCTCTACCTGGGACTCTGCCTCTTTCCCACCCTCTCTGCACACTTGACCAGCCCAACACTTGACTGGTAAATTCTTCAGAACCCAGCCCAGAGGCCATTTCCTTTGACATGCCTTCCTGACCCAGTTACCTGCTACACCGACCCCTGTAAAATCAGGTCATTCTTTCCTTACATGTCTTCCTGCTCAAATGTAAGCCTCATGACGGCAAGGCAATGTCTTGTTAAAATCCAAGGGTTTCCAGAACCTAGCGCAGAAGACATGGTGGGGCAAAGGAAGGTTGACAGTTGTTCGTATGGAAAATAATGCAATAATTAATAAATAACAGTACAAGAATAAACATGTTTCACATGCTCACAACTATAAACCACTTTTGCCCCCCCATATGGCTCAGGGGGATCCTAAATACGCATTTGCTGAGTGAATGAATGACTGAGGCCGAAGTGCTCTCTTCTTTTTGACCTGCGATTCAGGTTGCTCTGCTAGTTAGTTCTCCTAGCACTTTACCACGTGATGAAGCACTTGTGTAACTGCGGGATCACCCCCCACTGTGTAAGTTTCCCGTGTTGTGCCAACCCCCC